TTTTTGGCGGTAACCATAATGGTGGTCGAGTACATCATGTTGTGCGGGGTGGAGAATCCTCACTCCGCTCAAGGAGGATGATCGTACCACGTTGTGTTAAAATGGTCAAGCACCCTCGAGGCAGTCACCCGGTGCTTACAACTGTCTCTGGAAGTGAAGCACCAGAAAATAAATTAAGTCATACGCAGCTGTCATCCGTATGCAAGGGAGTAGGCACAAGATGCCGAACACCCTTCGAAGGATGCAGCGCACCCTTCATGCGACTCGCCGAATACCTCACGGCGCTTCGCGCTTGGTGATGTGAGAGCCTGGTCCGGTGAGAACCCGGCGTGCTCCGTCCCGGCTTTGTAGGGATGCGAGGTCAATGGTCTAACGACTACGGCATGCACGACTATGAGTATGAGTATACCCCCCTTCCCAAAATGACCCCACCTAAGCGCCGATGCCTCAGCGAAAAACCCGGGGATATATGGGTTTATGTACCCTCCCCCCACCCCAGATGACCCCAATATTCGAGTAGTAGGTTGTGTCTTGAAATGATTTTTACGTGTACCCTTGCCCCACCCAACTCCCAGCGAAATTGTCTAGCCACACTCGTGAGAAATTGTAGCATATCCTTGACATGTGGTACGTTCCGCAAGCAATTGTAGAAGTCTAACAATCCAGAAAAGCTCCTACACCAGGAACGATACTTCCAACATACATGCATGCACCCCAAAAGATACCCTACTTGGGCCCAAGTTCATCCACAAAAAATACGTGGGTGTGAAGGAAGTACGCTCCTGTCCCAAACTGCATTTCCACGTACGCCGGCTTTGCCTGTGGGAACTCCTGTTTCTTGGTCGCTGTCTTTCTTTCTTCACCAGCAACAAGTACAAATAGTACCGCAATCCCTCACGTAGTGATGTGGACTTTGCGAACAGCCAACAAGGGCGGCCCACATGGCCCTTTTTCTTCCTGGGCGTATCTACTGTAGGCCGCGCTTGGGAGCACTCAACACAAAATTCCGTAGGGTATAGTATTTAGTTGAGACACTGAAGCGACGGAAAAACAAGGAAAAAGAAAAAAATCATCAACGGGGTAATCTGCGGCGGAACACGACGGGAATGGATGCTCAGACTTGTCCAGCTTATTTCCGCATATCCCAACACGAGGATGCCTATGGAGGAGAGACCTGCGCACCAATTGCCATTCTTGACTGTGCACAAAGTGCGAGTAAACTATATGTGCCAAAGCAACTCAATACAAAGCGGACGAGAGCGCGTGCAACTCGAGCCAGATCATGGCACACCCTCGCCGACCAATAAACAGCATGAACCCTACTCTCAAATTTGCGCTCAGACCCCGCATATTTACCACGCTAGGTCATGCCTACTTCGAGCAGCGGGTCTATCGCAGAAGAAAATCATGCCAGTAACGGCCCACACAACGAGCTCCAGCCGCCACACCACAAGGTCTTTCGCAAAAAGCTACCATATTAATTACTAAAACTTCTATGCCTGCTTGTCGCGTCGTTCGCACGCCGTGCAATACCCATCGATCCGCATTGAAGCGAAAACACTCTACACCCGAAACGAGCCCCCAGGTTATGTGTGCTATCATGCGAAAAGTTATCGCACGCACCCGAGCCAAAACCGCGTGCGTGATTCCACAATGCATGAAAACATACCGCAACACACATCAACACAGACACGGCGCTCAACGCCGCTTTAAACGCACGGAACACCGGTTATCCGTTCGTCCCCCACATACATGGAACGGTCGTTTCGCACTGATTTTTCAGAGTGGTGGCAAGTCAACATTCTCCGCATGCACATTCACGCCCGGGTACATTCATCGAGCACCGCCTCAGCCCTTCAACTTGAACAGGTTGAATGAGTCGAACCCGCCTGGAAAAAACGTGGTCAATTAGTAGCAGGCGGCGAGGCTAGGAATTCGCGGCAGCAGGAAATGGAAAATAACCGAGAAAAAGAAAAAATCGGCATGCCACCACGACGTTGGCGGCCGAGGCTCCCTGACGCGCTTGAACCTATTTATGTGCGTTTCCAAACTTTCGTGTTGTGTCGTCTAATCTACCCATGGCCGCACTCGACCTTCTATTTCGCTCACCGCACGCCGTCGTAGGGTCGCCGGAGCATTGCGCGACACATGACCCATGCCCGTGCCTCTTGTAGTCCTCCTTATCATCAGACGTTCCGCACCAGCACTCGTCGCCGTACTGTTGAGCCAAGAGACGAACAAGGGCCGGGGGCGAGGATGCAGCGAGAAAGAAATAACGTTCACATCGAGAGAAATGGATCAACGGCGCGTTATGGAAAGAGGGGATGCAACACTGACTCTTCCTACTTATTCCCGAGTGTGGTCTTAAGAGCCAATCCCTGCCAATTGATAAGTAATCCGCCAACGAGAGCTTCAGGGTGTTTGATTGTTGCCTTCACAAGGAGGTTATAGATACAACGGCATGCAACAAGGATGCAAAGCAGAGTTACAACAGGAGAGACTAGAGAGTGCAGGAAAAGGGGAAGCTCATGCCCTCCGCCCACCTCACCTCATACCACATGTGCAAGACTGGGGCAAAGTGACGACGAGCGAGAGATCCCTTGACAAATCGGCTAACATCTCTTGCGAAATAAAAGTAGCCACCGTGGGAGAGCACAGCAAATCAGTACGACTGCTGTTGCCTACCTGTCACTATTCGCACGTCTAAGAGCACCCACTGCGGTGGACTCTACGACAGAGCAAACCTGTGTTTGTGCCAGGGACACCGAGTACGAACCCCCACCATTTACCTGGGTCGCGTAGAAGTGCGCGCCAAAGCCCTCGCAGTAGGTGCGGCAGACGGCCTGGGTCATGTCGGGCTGGTACTTGATCTCGTTCTTCAATAGGCGATCATCCCCGTCGTCGGCGAAGCACCCCACGTACTCCTCTCCCTCGGGTTCCGTCGGTTCCGTGATCTTGTACAGGTCTGGATACCACGGCGAAAGTTCGGGGGAGGGGGGGGGGAAATGTTATGCAAGGTCACGCCCACACGACATGCTATATGCTCATGGGCGTTCAGGTTCCGCACCAACCAACGAAAATCATGGCGAGTGCCACCAAACACCAAACCACCGCTAGTAAGCATCTGCACACGTATTGGTGAAACTCGACGATTTTGTCGAGGCACACGGAGTTCAAGCTCACCGGATCACACGAAGCGAAACAGTAGTAACCGCTGAAACAAGACACTACGAACCCCTCGAAAATCCCACGAAACAACAAATCAAAAACATAAATCCTCACCGAAAGCGTCGTAACCACCGCAACTCTCGGCCTACGCAGGCACGTGGAGTAGGCAAGGGGTGGGGGCGGGGTGAGCAATATCTTCAGGCCGGGCATGTCGAGATCGCTGTAGGGCCAAAGGCTTGGCAATTATGAGAGTGGGCGCTGGGACATCTGGGGAAATCGCACCACAGGCAAGCCTTCTCCAAAAGTCCAACAACGTCCACGGAACGGTGGTGAAGGACAACAACAATGAGAAACTGGCTGCGATCGGGGCTTGGCTGGGCAACGCGGATACTACCGCTCTAAGCTATCGGAATTTCGGAGGCCTTGAAGAAAGGAGCGCCCTCCGATCGACAAACGCGGGCAAAGGGATTGTTTGCGCCAACGCCAACACTGAACACGCGGTTACAATGCAGGTTTCTTATCTCGCCCATGGCGTGGTTTTCCAGCGCTTCTCTCTGTCGGCAGGAACCGTGCAATATTCTGACCTTGTCCCCTTCGCAACGCGTACCGCACAAGCCGTAGTCGCGGCCGTCCACCCTCTCCAAGTCGTCGGAGTGGCGGGCGTAGTCTAGGTCTGAATCATGGCTGCACCAGCATTCGAAGCCGTACTGGGTAGCCATGTATGTGGCTCGCCTGTCCACGCAGTGCTCGTAGCACATCTGGGTACGGAAAAGAAAGGGAAACGCACATCAAGAAGCAATTGTAAGATGGGCGACGGCGGTAGCATCCAACGCATGTGCTGCTTTGCTTAATCGAAATACAGCCAACTAAATGTGAGACACACCGTGCTATCAGCGAGTTATGATTGAAAGAATGAAGTCTATGGTATCATAGCCTAGCGGAGTCACTGATCGCAACTTCCAAGCGACAACGGAGGCAGAGATACCAACCCAGAACCAAACGCAGGCTGCAGTGAATGAGAGCGGTGCTTGAACGCAACAACCATTTGCAGCAGGGACACAGGGGCAACACTCACAGCACCGGTCATGGCTGACGACGTGATCATGGCTTCGAGCACTCGGTCCTCCTTGTTGTCGGAAAAGCACCCCACGTGCGTGTAAGCCTCCACGGGCACATCCGCAACAGGCTGCTCTTCAACTGGCGTAGCTACGGGCATTTCGTAGACGGAAGCAGCAACTGGTTGTTCGGGCTCCGCAGTGGGCTCCGCAGTGGGCTCCGCAGTGGGCTCCGCAGTGGGCTCAGACTCAGGCGTCGGTTCGGGAGTAGGTTCGGGAGTCGGCTCAGGAGTCGGCTCAGGAGTCGGCTCGGGGGTCGGTTCGGGAGTTGTTTCCGTAGTCGGCTCAGGCGTCGGCTCGGGGGTCGGTTCGGGAGCCGTGGGGAACGTTTTGCCTGTACGGATAACAATCGGACAGTTATTTTCATGACAATCGGTAGAGACATGACGCATTTTTCTTTACCGGAAGCAATGGGGGGGGGAGCACTCGAACGTCTCATTCAACATCATTGTATTTTAGCTTGCCCTGTTCACGGAGCGTGGTACTAAGTAAACAAGTTCCAACTGCGGGGTTCATACCCCAACCCGCGAAGGCCTGAGGGAAGCGGACATTGCGAGGAACCTGCCCCAAGAACCCGTGGTTGGTGGGATTTAGAGGAGGGATTGTGTCCCAATAATACTTGTGTTCGTACACTCTCAACATGGGTTGCCTAGGGATCAATCTCACCGTCGGCCACCAGAGTGATGTCGGAGCAGCCGAAGAACACGTTGCCCCACTTCTGGCCTTCGTCGCTGCAACCGGGGTTCTTGTGCGGCAGCCACTCCTCCTTGTTCGGCGCGCAATCTCCCGGCCACTCGGGATCGAACTCGTGGTAGCCGGGGTGATGGCACCCGACGTACGCGTCTGGGGGCATGTGAGGAGTAAAAAGCGCGGAGAACACGTTACGGACACGCGTCAACCCCAACAGAACAGGCTCGTTGTATGCTGTCATCCAAACATGGTTGCTCTCGACGTGTTGCGTTACAGAACCCGTCTTGTACCTACTGTGCGTGGACAACACTGAAATATTTCAAGCAAATCGCAAGGAGCTACATGAAAGGTCGTCGCCCTTGTTCCGCACGAGATCAAAGAGGGTGTTTCTGGCGAAAAAGCAACATTAATCCGGAAACAGTTTTTGAGTACTCGACGCCAAGGGCAAAAGGGAGAAAAATACGAGAGAGATAAGGTTGCTGGTGCGCACGTTCCAATTACCGTTAAAATGAAGACAACATCATTTGTCGATGAGTGCCTACTCACAGTACTTCATCTGGAGGACACAGTGCTCGCACTGAATGTTGGGCAGATGGTAACGCCCGGTGTTGATATAGCCCTGCAAGATTCGGTGAGATTTGGCAAGTCCAGTGAAATGGAGGGAGGGCAGGGAAGGGCAAGCATAAAACATGATTGCTGGATCTATTTGGGGAAAACAATCACAGCGAAGTGCATGCCTCCCACAACCAGCGGCATTTGCGTCACCGCCCAACAACTTCGTTGATCCAGCAGCAAGACTTAACAGCCCCGTTGAACCGGACGTGGTGCCATTTCCCCCCTTCCTCCTTCCCTTTCACCTCAGCATCTCTCTCTCTCTCTCTCTCTCTCTCTCTCTCTCTCTCTTTCTCTCTTTCTCTCTCTCTGAAAACGCCTCTGACTCCGTGCGGCTACGCTCGCGACGATAGTGTGGCATGGCACGGTATTACTTGTTACCTTCGCAGACCTCCAAGAGCTGGTACCATACACCTGGTAAGCATACATAATACTCACATGGTCCAGGCCAACCTCCCCGTCGTTGAGCATGGACCTGCCCGATTGGTCCGTCTCCCCCGTTTCACCGCGACACTCGGGGTTCACGAAGAAACGCCCAGGGTAGTCCGGGTCGATGGGGCTGTTCCACCAATCGGTCTCGTCGCGGTCGAGCGGGTACATGTTCAAGCAGTCTTGGGTCACCACGCCGTCAGGGTCGTCTGATGTTGGGTGGGGAAGAAGGTTGGGGCGGGGAAGAGGGAATACCATCAGGCGCTATTGGTGTGTGAAAAACAGCCAGAATATGGTCTCAAAGGCTTTGCGCTCTGTACCTTTGAGAGTCATAAACTACGTAACATTACCGACACTGGTTGGACCACGACTGACTCGACATTGGTCACCCATTGACGAGCTACGTTTTCGCTAAATGTATTGATACGTACCCCCGTCTCCTTCCCAAGTGAACCAACAGCGCAGAACGGGAAAAAACGGGTAGTTGTTATGGGTATCGGGCCCTCAAGTCGCCGAGCTGTTCGCACGCCCTGGGATTCGAAGAGACTCAGGGAGGAATGTCCTCGCGGGAAATCATGGCAATTTACGGAACGTTACGTGCTGCGGTCTTCCTTGGTCCACGGAAAGAAAACACGGTGTTTCTATCATGACGAATTTTTGGTATCCCGGTACAATTTCAAAATCCTGCGACTCACCCATGTCAGCGGTGTCGCACAAGAAGTACTCGATGTGCCCCTGTGGTTTCGATGATGGAAGGTCGGCGAGGTGACGTAGCAGGCGTTGAGTGTCGAAAACTAGGTTCTGAACCAAGTAACCAAAACCACGCGATTCCACCAGCGCTGTTCATCACCATCCGGCATCGTCGTGAGTGAGTATTCACGCGAACACTAACCCAAAACCAAAGTAAACCGCTGACACGAGCAGGATGATTCCACGCAAGTATCGCATACTCGGACAGCGTTCATGCAGTCTGACAGGATAACCGGGATCATGATGGAAGGTATGTTTAGGTGAAACAAATGAGGAGAGACTTTCCGATCTCTGGATGGTCTGGTGCGAGATTGTGGCGCAAGCTTGGATGCAGCTAAGACTTGAAAGGTGCGTAGCGATGATCTGCTACGAGAAGACTTGTTATGTGGATTCTCTTCGATTTGGTGCAACTGGAAGGAGACAGACGTAGGACACAAATAAACCAACGAATACAGCGCTATTGGATAGGCAAGCTTGAATGTTGATACATATTGATGACGCTGTGGTCGATCGGACAGCGGCGCGAGTATCGATGGAGATTCAGCACAGCCGCTGAGAGTTGCTATGGATATGTCGAACAAAACACCGTGTACAACATTTCAAACTAGATTCGGAGATACCGACCTTCGTTCGTTAGCTGGAAGGAGCGATGCACACCTGTTGCACGTGAAAGAACGTGCTCGAATCTGTGCACGAAGGACTCACCCAGTGGTTGTTGTTGATGACGGCCTTGAGCTCGATGATGGATCCCGACTGGTATGTCGAGATCGGAGGCCAGAGGGTGTTTGGAGTACTGTACGTGTTCGGGTTGTCCAAGCCGCCCTGTTTTTTTTTCCGCAAGAAATGGGTTTCGTTGGGGGTTATTTGGGTATCGTTTGTGAACGCGGCATGCCACCTTGGGTGTTGCCCAGTGTAGTGGCCGGTTTGAGAGCTGAGATCTCTTTTCGAGAAAACGCGTGTTATCGACATGCCGAAGGCGGTTCCTGCTGATTGAGTGTCGGCAATCAACCCATCTTTGCTCGACACTCGACGTATCCTCAGCCGTTTCATTCGGCTTGCGATCGGGGTGTCGGTGTAATGCTATCACAATTGGGAGAGGCATGCTAACGTCAGTACCGACGACGTCAAGCAAGTCGAAAAATCGTTCGCACATAGTTGCGCGAAGGCCATCGGCCAAACTGTCCTAAACACTTCCAACAATCTACACCTCTCATCACCAACCAAACGCATCACTGACCTGGGGAGGGTCCCCGCACACGCCGTGTCCGACGGCAATCTTGTCGCTCTCGAGGTAGTTGTTATTCGGGCACCTCTCCCCCTTGTCCCAAGCCGCCCCCACGATCCAGACGTCGCCATCACCGTAGTCGGCAAGGATGTCAGGATCGATGTTGTCGATAGTTCGGGCCTGGACCGCGTCCGCACCTACGGAACAGCGGAAGCATACCGGCGACGATACCGCAAGGCCCGAGTGTGAACCAAGCCTTTCATTCTCGGGGGGCGGGGGCGGGGTACTCATTCCCCTCATTTTTTGCATGCCCTAGCGATTAGACCATTGACTACGCGTCCTCGAGAGCACGGAGCATTGTTCCCACAGGACCGATCACTGATGAGTAATCGTTCCTTCGTACTGCTCAAAACTATTTTCTCTACCCCTTCTATTCCTTTCCATATAATTTCCCGCCTTTTCAGCCAACTCCCTATGCCCCAGTATAGCTATAGTCTTCTCTGACTTTTCCATGCCTAAACGTCTCATGTCTGTTTACTGTTTTCTATTCTTCCCAGCTCAGTAATGTACAGTTCTCTCTCGTTCTAATCAAACGGACACTCTAAGCTACATGAACCCGGTCTTCGCACTCTGAGCCGGGTTCACATGCGAACTTGTCATCGTCATCGTCTACCTCCCTAAATTTTCATCTCGTTTCTCGAATGCCAAATGTCCCCAGCCCTAATTTTGACCTCCAGCTTTATCCCTGCGTCCATTTGCCCACTTTGGCATCCTAATCCACTTTCAGCATTCTGTACATGTGTCCAGATCCTCCTTATCCTTGGTGTCTTTGGTGAGATTCCGTTCTTCTCTCTCGGCACCATTCCGAGGGGGAGGGGGGCACTAGGAAGGCGACAGCAAATTTTCCGATATGGACAATGTATGCAAACAGGCAACGACCACATAGTATGTCGTGTATAGACTATATCGCATTTGATCAAATCAGCTGATCTTAGGAAGGTGTCTGTCCCAGGCGTCCGCAACCTCATGCGCTGAAGAGCCGTCGGGGGCTTTTTTCGCTCCTTCGGCGCACTTTTCGTTTTGAATGACAACCGTTGCTATGCGTTGCAGTTTCTACCTCGCCTGCGGCTTTGCCTCTCAAGCTGAAGAGCTCCGACACTCGCCAAACAGAAAACAACCCGAAATAAACGTAACACGGTAAGCATATCTTCGATGGACGCCAGAGGGATCCAACCCTGCTTCCCCGAAGCTGGCTCACGAACAAGCGTTGTTGAACGTAGCAAGGCTAGGTTCCTCACGCAAGCAAGGCTAGGTTGCTCACCTCAACGAACCCTAACCCTAGCCCTCATCCTCACCCACGGCCAACGCACGGCCTAGCGGCCGCGAACTGGGCTAGCACACGGCTGCGCCGCGTGCTCGGAATGCGGAACGGGGAGAGGGTGCTGGAGAGGAATCGGCCGTAAGAGCCAACGCCGAACAACGCCCGACCAATCAGAAAGCGTTAGTCCTAAAGATCTACTATCAATGTGTAAACAACACTTCCGGAGCGACAGGCCTATTTTCGGCACCAACATGCACTAGGAAAACATGGAAACTGCTGTCACTGCGTGCTGGACCCGGAACGGTTGCACTCACTTGAAAGTAGGGTTGCAACATACATGTCATAAAAAATAGTAGCTCCCATCTCTGTCCTGTGGGGTACCGCAGAAAAATGTGGGGTGACATTCCCGCCGGTTGTCCGTCATCACTGTCGACAATAGTGTGAGCGCTGTGTGTTTTTGTCTTGGTATTTTTTTTCATTTTCAGGTTTGGGGACGCAATATACAAAAGTCCAAGTCCAAGTCGAACAGGGAAACTCTGTCTTTAGGCCACTTGTGTACGATTCAAATCGTCTATTTATGATCAAAAAGAGAGTTCTTCAAGTGGTAGAGTAAGACGAAACGACCATTCCACGCCGTACCTCCCCCGTTGAAGGAGCCCGCCCATTTTTCGACGTAGAATTCGCCGCTGCACGTACCACACACACCCGAACGCACACAAAGAGGAAGGAGGGGCGAGGACGGTGGTGGGGGTGAAATACGACGGGGAAGAGGAGGGAATGCGCAACATTTCATGCGAACACACTAAACAATACAACGTTTCTTTCCCGGACACTACGTATTTGAATTTACTGTAGACTACCGCGGCTCTTCCATGGCTCTTAGGATATCATGCCGGGGCATTTTTGTTGGTTGGACATTTGCACGTTTTCATCCGTTTGTCAAATTTATTATCGCTCGTGCACCCCGACTGCGCCCACCGGTGACGTAGATATGCTGCCGGCTGGACATATCTCTCCACTGAGCTGTGTGTGACATCTCTAACAGCAACCACGCAGAAACATCTCGTCCTTCCCGCACCCACGAAATTTACCGCAAAATTCCAAACCCAAATGATGCGGTTCGGAATGCGGAGGGACTCTGGCTTCGGTCATCAATCTTGATTTTGTGCTACTCATCAGCAGGGCGGTTTGTTCATCGATCAAGCTTTCACGAGAAGCTACTCGCGACTGGCGGGGGGTGTTAATATATTGATATCGCAAGGGTCGGGCGCCCCGGTGGGGCCTAATACACGGTGGCGCATACACGGCTCTGGGGCTCGTCTAAGACTCTTTCGTAGCACTGCATAGTCTACAGACCTTCATAGATGCGTGATCCCCGAGATCCCCACGATGAGTTATGATGTTATTAGAGCATGTGATCGAAGCAGATACGATATAGACATGTTCGAATGTTCGAGATATGAGTTCGAAGTTCAAGTTAAACATAGAAACCAATGCCACATACATGATCGTCGGCGCGTGAGACATTCCACTCTCGCGCTACGCCGCTGTGTAGGGGAGGACCTTCGAAGGCCTCGATAGCTCTCACCCATCATTGAACTCCTTTGAGCGAAGATATTGCCGACTGATAGGCTCTATGCAGAAGCCGTGTCCTTCCACAGCTGTAGGGACGTACGGCATGGCTACTATCATCGCGATCACCACCACCGCTGTAGCCGCCCTTCTCCCCTCAACATGCTGAGCCGGAACCATGATGCCGGTGGAAAGCGCGATCTCACGCTGAGCTAACAACCTCGTGGTGGCCTGCAGTACAGCAGTAGGAGGTGTGAAAGGGCTACGTAGCTCGAGAAGTTTTCTCCTGGCGTGCGGTGGAGATTATTTGCCACCTCACACCTCACACAGACCCAACGTACCGCAAAAACATACAACAGCTTTCCCCGAAACGGCGATTCTATTAGATATATTGGGGGTACTCGTAGCATAGTATGACGGTTGAGATGTTATGTACGTACGTACGAAAGATACAGTGATGAGATGCGGAAGAATAGGAAATTTCTACATATAGACTATTCCTTGGTTGCGAGAGGTATTTGGTGAAGGTTCAGAGAGATTCGTTGAGTGACAAAGAGTGAAGGCGTGACCAGATGCCGTGATGGTTTGACGAGCACTGGCACGCCCCCGAGTAATACTATACTCTGCAATACGTTTTCAACACGTTTCTACCAATCCACGCTCCACCATGAGCCACCCGCTTTGAGCTCCAACCACAAGGAATCGAGCCACCCGAATTATCGATCACGCTAGCATATGACACGTCGTCTACGAGATTCGCGGTCGAGCTTGGTTTAGGAGCATCGCTTTGCGGCGATCGAGAGCAGGATCAAGATGGCTGCCGCAGGCGCGAAGAAGAAGCCTGCCAAGCAGCGGAGAAAGCAGCGGAGGAAGCCNAGCAGCGGAGGCCCGCCAAGCAGCGGAGGCCCGCCAAGCAGCGGAGGAAGCCAGGATCGAAGAACTGGTCAACGAGAGAGTAGCAGCTCGGATGGAGCAGATGATGGAGGAGAAACTGGCCAAGAAGATGGCCGAGATGGAGGTACGGCAACGAGCCGAGCAGCTGAGCACAGAAGAACTCCGGAGCGGGAACGAGGAAAAAAGGGTACCACACCAGCAAGCGACTGGGGGCCCATCGCCCAACCCCTCCGCAGACGAGCTGGCCAACGCGATTGCGACTGCCATGGCCGGTCGCCTCCAGACCTCATCAGGGGATATCGGTGCAGTACCACACCCTGCAACTCTCCGTATGACTGAGAGTAGAAGAATTGAGCCTTGGGATGGTGTGTTTAAGTCGGGGGACA